ACGGATCAATTCAGATAGGAGTATATAGAAAGCCGTATTGGACGGGCCAATACACACACTTCCGAAGTTTTGTGCCAATAAGCCGAAAAAGAACACTGGTACATACGCTGGCCAATCGTGCACGGAAGATCTGTAGTGAGGACACAATTGAAGAAGAAATGAAGCGAATCAGACAAACACTTTTCGAAAACGGTTATCCAGAATCATTCATTGCCGTTCATATAAAGTCGAGTAGCCCAAGACCAACAGTACAAACGGTGGAGAAGAAACAGCTATTTCTCCAACTTCCCTTTAAAGGTGACATACCGGCTGAGATATGCACACGACGACTGATACAGACTTGCCGAAAGACCTTTAATGCAGCTCAACTGAGTGTCATTTTTACAAGCAGTTCGCTCTTTGTTCCTAGGTTCAAAGACAAGATGCCTGATCAACGCCAGTCAATGGTAGTCTACCGGTTCACATGCTCCAATGGGGCTAGGTACATTGGGCGCATGACCAGACACTTGGAAAAGCGAATCAAGGAGCATTCACCAGTGTCGCTCGTCACCTGACGGAAAAAAACTCAGTTGAGTGCTATAACCAACAATCTGATCTGCACCAATCATCTGATTGATAAGCGCAAGTCTTTTGAGATCCTCTATCGAGTTCCATCACAGCTATACCATCGGTCAGGGGCTCAGCTACTCGCTACCGCTGAAGCAGTATGCAGCAGGTTGACAAAACCAAATCTATGCATTCAGAAGCAACATGTACATGCATTACAATTACCCTGGCCAGTAAGTAATAAAGATGGATCGTACCTCACTCAGTGGTATCACATGCCTTCAGTCACTTGACCATATGACACGTTACGTTAAGCATTTAAAAATTTTTGTTCAATCAATAGTTACTCTCTGTTTGCCCGTAGGAACTCCTCAACGTATATTTCTGTACCAAGCCCGATGATGAATAAATCGAAAACAATTGTTCGCTGTAAGCGTACCGCTTGCATTTCTTCTTATAAAATATAATAATAATGGGCATACTACACGATTTTCAGTAGTGTCATCGCTAGCAGTACTGTGTTGGGCGGAGCCTGGGATACTAGTCTGTAAGCAATGACACGTAATACGTGTCAAATACGACAGTATAGAAGTCGGAAGCGACTGAACCCAACGTATATTGCACAGGCTACAAGAATAGGAAGCGAATCAGGCAGAGCGAGAAACGTGCAGCAAGGTACTCAACAAAATGGTTTGTGTCAACGGACGTGCAGTCAATAAAACAAATGGACGTTTCGAAGGTTAAAACAACCGTAAAATCCAACGTCACAAAATACTGAAAGAGCTTGCTTTCCGTCACCCTACAACTGTATGCCTCAGTTGCGTCCTTGTCTTTTCATCGAATCCAGAAGTCACAAAAAGATTTTCACAACTGGCCAGATGACTGACAAATGACTAACATCGGCCGCCTAATCATTGTGCACAATACTTGCAAGCCAGAATGAAAATACTGGAAAAAAGAGGTGACAATCTGTGTCCAGGTTACATTTCTCAGTATCCTTAATGTTTATATATATATATATATATATATATATATATATATGTTGTGGCAATGCGCCTGAAAGTCTTGAGCAAGGTATTTCCACATGAGTCAAATTAACAACCAGGGTTGAAACTGGAGAACCATACTACTTACATGCAATTGGCAGTAGCAAAATGTACGAATCTCAGCAATTTATGCTTCCGATACAGTCGTGTATCAGCTACTTGCTTTCATTCCAAATAAACAAATGTGGATCTAAAATCATGCATTTGTAAGTTTGCGGCGTCACGATACTACACGTATTCCATTACACGTGAATCAAGGGAGCTGGCGACTTCCTCGTTCGCTTGAGGAATGTTGGTAAGGTTCTCCAAGTACCAAGTACCCATGAGATCTAAGGTATCTGTCCGTGTGCTCCTGTATGCGGTTGGCTGATGAGCTAGGCACATATTCGCGCAATCCACGACTTCGAATCGCGCTCGTTTTTCCCTGCGTTGGTATATCGGTATCGTCCTAGTCAGGGATCAGACTCCTAGTACATACGAAAAATGACATCAGCAGTACTTCGGTACGTAGTACCGACGCTTCGCTGTCGTGAAACCACCAACAGTCGCAAGTGGGCTAAGGGCACTGCGAGGGTCGCACGGTTCATACACAGGCTCGAACCCGCGCCCTTGGATTACAAGGCAGGCTTGTGAACCTTAAGACTACAGGCCGGACACATGGAGATGTGATATCCAAATCTAAATAGTTTATTTATTCAGCTCGGACATATTATATCAAAATAAACTAAGCCAGTAGAATTGGTGGTTTTGATTTACCAGCAGAGTTGTGGTGATTTGTTGCATTGCGATTTGCGTTATACAGGTAACACAGTTCTTTGTCACTATATAACCAACCTAAAACTGAGATACAGACATTTGAGGTTTACGGAAACCCAGTATGGTACGCGGAAGAATATGTTTTGTGTGATCTCTAATGTTCAAACAGTGAGATCAATGACAGCAAGATAATACGGTATCACGTAGAATAACCATGAGGTACCACAATCTGATGTTAAAACAGTGTGAGGAGACGGACACCACGACCATCAGTGTCATATGTCCAACGTCTTGTGTTCCGTACGCATTATCAGGGAAGTTTTAGTACAGTCATTGGGCTGTAGTTACGGCGTTTTGTGAGCTACTCCATCGCAACGAGACTGGACCATAGCGTAGTACGATGATAGCGTACCCATGTGACCCACTGAGCTATACTGCGTGGCAACTGCCAAGTGCCTTCAGAGCCACTCATATCAGACAGCTTAATGGTTAGGAGTCATACTAACAGCCTCATAACTTAATCATATTCGGGTATCAGGAAGAGTTGACGGTCCTCTTCTTTTGAAGCATAAAAAGGAGAAAACAGTTCTACGGCTCATAAGCTCACTGTTCGATTGGCATAGATCACGAGCGCCACATATTGTCTCCGATGGTGGGGGCGCATCATCCGGTACAGAATGGTTTGTTACCGCTCGCTTCAAGCCATGCAGCCTCTGATTAAGTAGGTGCAAACCCGCGAACTCCCAACTGCGCCTGGCCGTCCTTGCAGATGTGTGTCGTAAAACACCAATGTACTTTGTTAAATATTCATACGGTGAACGTGAAAGGTCCCAAGATCACAATGGCTCTCTGCAATCACACTTCCGAGCTGGACCTGATAACCACTGCCTTCTGCGTCAGACTATTGAGACGAAGGCTCCGCGTGGAATCCATCAAGCAAACCTCCAAAAAACCTGCTGCTTTGTGCGTCAGACTGTCGAATCAGGGGCTAGAGCTAGGGCACCTCGAACAGTACCCCTATCTCGGAATGGGCAGTCTGAGAATATCATTTAATCTCTCGACTTCGCCAGCAATACATCATCTTATTCTTCTTCATTTTCCCTCAACTATCTCTTCTTAACTATCAGTTGAGCAAGAGCTTGCCGCTGACCTCGCTGCTGCTGCCAGCGATACAACTACCACTTCGATTAAACATAAAGTTTCATTTCACATTGCTTCTTTTAACGTTCGCACTCTGGGTTAGATCGGTCAACAAACAACACTGACTCTCACTATTTACTCTTCGTTTGGTGTGTGTTGTGTCGCCGAAACACGCATACAACACAATGGCGTTGTGAGGAATCTTCGATTCACTGGTTTTGAAACTGACTACACTCGCGTTTCTTACGATCCTGGGTCAATGCCTCAAAGTAATTACGGTGCCGGTGTCGCAGTCGCCAAACATGCTGAGCGCAATCTGCTCGACTGGATGTCGCATGTGTGCGGTTGGCCTTCGAAAGTGTATTGCGGTTAATAAGCAGCGTCTGAAGACAAGGTGACCTATATTCGCCCCAATTTACGTCCCTACTTAATGCAGTTCAGAGCGCATCGAAGACGATACCTATCAGCAGCTCTCATCTCTTATTCCGATTGACAACAATGTTGAATCGTGTTTGTTGCCGGTGACTTGAATGCTCCAGTGGATCGTCTTTCAAGCTATAAACACCGGGGCGGCCACTTCAGAGTCAATCCACGCCGAACAGGCAATGCTGATCGATTCCTACAACTGTGCCTTGATGACAATCATTATATTAGCACTAGTGCTTTCCGGCACATATGTTCACACCGCGTCATCTGGTGTCTACCGAATTCTTCAACGACCTGGACTCAGATTGACCGTATTACCATCAGCTACCAGTGGCGCACAACGGCGGAATATTGGCTTACCAGTAAAAGGTAGGGTGTATAACGCTGCGGTAAGGCCGGTCTTACCGTATAGATCAGGAACCTAGCCAGTTCGCGGTGAATATATTAAACGCATGGCCGTGTTTGACCACCAGCGCTTGGGGAGTATTGCTCACGTCTGGTGGGAATACCAGGTGAGCAGTGCTGAGTTCTGAATGTTAGTTTTTGACAAAAAGGTTGCTGGTCACTCATTCGGCAGTTTGCTTAATATTAATCGCTTACGTTGGCCAGGCCATGTTCTCCGTCTGCTCGTTGATCGGCTTCCTCGGCGTGCATTATACGCCATGGTCACATCAAGTTGGGCGGAACCTCGAGGTGGCTAGTCCATGACGTGGCATAGAGGCATTAAGAAACTGACTGAGAGACTGGGTCTGCCTGGTGCATGCCGGTTTCGTGGATAGGGGCCTCGGGATGGTCCATACCAATGGTTGGAGGCCGTATGAAGCATGGCACAGTCAGACACTCAGTTTCGCTCCTGCATTCCATTGCTTGCATGTGATTGTTAATTTTCGTTCCATTCTGATTAGGCTAACGTACTTCCTTTTGCTTTCATTTTCCTTACTTTTTTGCATTCAACCACACTATCATGCCGTTGTTAGTTGCTGTTATTCATGAGATGTGTCGTGATAACTGAATCCACCGCACTTCGGTGCTCGGATCATAGTTGTTCAACGGAGCTGAACGGAACTGAACAGGATGGAAAACAATGAGGACGGTTGACGTGTATTTGCACACAAATTGCACACCACGACTATATACACATACATGCACACGCACACTTAAAGAGTGGAAGACAACCGTTGTTGGCGAACCGCAAGGGACAATTTACAAGAAAGAAGTCAGTGAAATGGAGGAAGTGGGGAATCGGAAGCTGGTAAGCGTTGGGAATCGAGATAGACAATTGGCAACGGAATATCGATAAAATGGGATCGGATGATACAGGAGTAAGGATGTCGGGGTGGGAAAAATCAGAAAAAGATGATTACGATAAACAACGATCAGGTAAAGGATGGGATTGGTAACCCAAACAAATATGCAGAAAGCAATACTCTGGGAAGATCACAAGTCGCTATTCATTCAAGGGGCTAGATGCCCGGAAAGGAAGGGATGTACATTCGAAAAGAGACGGGACAGTAAAAAAGAAGGAAATGCTGCAACAGCTATCAGGACTCTAAAGAGTCAGTAAATACGGTCACTTATATTTGATGTGTCTGGATCTGGAGGTAATCCACGATAGCGGTACGGGCCACCTGCGGCCTGTGGCACAGCCAAGTTGGCCGAAATCCCGATAGCACCTGGAGGGCAACGCGGTCCGAAATTTGGATTCGGTGGGGCACCTCGATAATAGTTCCCTGGGAGCTGGCGATTACGATTCACTTGACCTGGGTACTCTAGATAACAATTGCCGCTTCTTGACAAGAAGCTTAGATCAGATGGGGGAGGGTCCTCAAGAAAAAAGTTGTGAGATAACGCTTGGTCTGCGTTCAGCCGCCTCAAAGGGTCGAGCACGATGAGTTTGTCGATCAAATCCACGGCGGAAGGACATTCAATCTGTGGCGCCAGCTTTTCCTTCAGGTGGCGTTTCACATCCTTTGGAAGCTTGGCTTTTTGATAAGCCTCCAGATTTTTAACATTCGGCCAAACGTCTGGGGTGATTGAACCACATAGTTGAATGATAAAGTTCAACTGTGCCAGCTCGTTATCACCCTGCAAATAGAGAACAAGGTAATAGAGGCACATAAATACAACTGAACAACGCAATCCGACGACATGCTAGAAAGCAGGCGGGAAAAGAGAAACTACCTCGGAGAAGACAATGTAGGAGTGATAACAGATTATTTGACGAGAAATGTTGCTATGCCCAGTTGTGAGACTGGTTAAATGGCCAACACATATCTAGCTGCTAAGCGAGCATTGTTTGATGTGTGTGCGGGTCAAAATGAGGCTCAATTCAGTGAAGCAACTGGGATCCCATTACCAATCGAACACTAGTGAGAACCGGTGAGAGTGAGGGAAGAACTGAAATAAAGTGTAAGCGAAAATGAATAAAAATAGGACGGATTAAATGGGTACAATTGTACCCGTTTTGGTAGTGGATCCTGCAACAAGGTTTTGTACCAAGCTCGGATCGCAAGGGGGTGGAAGGATGTCATCGGAGGGCAGGAGGAGGAATGTGAATTGTCAGTCGTGTGGTGGCAAAATGTCGGGTGCGGGGTCGCTATGGTTACAACTACAGGGAGAGAGAAAACAGTTGCCTCCATGATATCAGTAGGTAGAGGTGAACAGACCCGTAAGTGCTAAGAACGACAGTAGAGCAGTCAACGAGGAAGGTTGTTGAAAATGAGTCGAGGTAGTGGATTGGCACTATCTAGGTGATTGATGACATTACCGCATGTATTCATATGGATACTGAAGCCACCACCACTCCCGCACCAAGAATTTGCTGTCCGTGGAACATATCCGACCGCAACAATGCCATCTATGCATGGGGAACGGCCCCGGAATGCAAGCAAACGGATCGGCTATGGTCGAAGCGGTTTAGCTCAAAGACAGCATTGTGCCAATTGAATTAGCGATTATGAAAGAAGAGCTTGTACAGGCTACAGAGATTAACACGATCCAATGTCATATTTTTGTCAACGTTAAACACGATGGATTCTTGTCGGTGAGGTATCAACGTTGGTGAGCGGCGTTAGTCAGTGTTTTGCACAGGCTTATCGCTGGACTCACCAGCATCGTCGTCGGCAGTGCGTAACAGGTTCCTTGTTGAATACAGCAAACCAATGCATTTGGGTGTGAGCTTCGATTGATTGGCCAACAGAGTGTTAGACAGGGCGACATCATTACAAAGAGGATGAGCGAACTATAAGGTGTGCTGTGATCTATACCTTCTGGGATGCTCTTTCGTAAATAGTTAAAACAGTCTAGAAAGAAGAAGTTAGGTTCCCCGGGTTCTCATATGCGGTCACTGAAGAAGATTCGAGACACTTGTAACACCTTTCGGATCGTTTCATCAGTAGAATTTATCGCTCGGTTTAAACGGTATGAGCAAAACTTTTGAAAAACGGTTGTCGTAAGCGATTAACGATCCCGGAAGCATGAGGTGTATGGCAGACGCTGTGCTGAGTTACAGTTCGACTGAGGAAGAACAAGACGCTAAGCTCGAATGTTCTTGCGACCTTGTGCAAAAAATTACATGGGTCACAAACACAGCTCCAGTGTGACACAGAAATGAAAAAGTACATTAAGTGACATGAGAAGGTTTACCTGCATGATGGGATATCTGGTCCATAACTCAGCCATTATGCAACCAGCCCCCCATAAATCTACTGGTTGGCCGTAGAACCGGTCATTCAGTAAAATTTCGGGTGGACGATACCACAGTGTCACAACGTGACCCGTGTAGCGGGAAGAGCGTTCAGGTCGAACCGGAGTGACAGTCAGTCGTGCTAGACCGAAGTCGGCGATCTTGAGGATACCTTTGCGATCAATGAGTATGTTAGAAGTCTTCAGATCACGATGTAACACATTATTCCTATAAGATAGATAAATGAAGATGATTTGTGGGCAGACGAGATGAAATCGTCCGAATCAAACTATGAAATTAAAAAGTGAATGAATGTGTGAGCAAATCACGCAGCTGTAATTTTGGTGGATATACGCGACAGATAGGAAAAGAAGAGTCCCACAGGCAATGCTGTTCGTCACGCAGTTAACTATTTCTGATGTTGCTTATATACAGCACCGTAAGCCTGGAAGCAAAAGGAAAAAGGAAGCAGAAGTGCGCTGATACGTTGTACCGACGCTTCGCTGCCACACAAGCGCCCGTAGTCGCGCGGGGACGGGGTACTGGGATGTCGCCTGCATCTACGCAGATGCGAACTGGTCGGCTTAGTTGTTCATGTCAAGAGCATAGACCCAGATTAGTTTTGTTGAAAAAAAGAGACCAAGAGAATGGAGTCAGTTACTTGATGGCGAGAAAAGGAGGTAAGACGCAAACAGAATACAGAGAAAAAGAAAGCTAAGGAAGCGCGTAAAACTAATCGGGAGGAAATATTGTCAAATAGAAGTAAGAAAAAGAATGCAGGAGTGCCAATGGCTGAGCGACTGCACGATGTCCGATCTAGTGTCCAACGTTTATAATTGTCGCATTCCGAAAGAAAGATTTCTTCGAAAAGCCGGAGCGTTCTCAGCCGCCTGGAGCAGTTTCTTGTCTCCAAAACTTCTCTGGTTGGCCGTGTAACTTCTCGCCAAGAACATGCACCTAAATTTGAATAGCGCTGGGGCAAAACCATCTGGTCCTACAGCCCTATGCAATTTTAGCGATACGATCTTGCGTTCGACTTCAGCGTTTGGGGACGTATTTAATGGGTTGGTCCATTTGAGCAGGGCGATCACCAAACGGCAAATATGCTGGTAAACTGCTTTTCAAAGTGTTCCGCCCAACAATCTAAGTGTTTTGACAGATCGTGTACACTCCTCTCATCATTTCGTCAACGCCGAGCCTCATACTATCCGTTTCCAGTACGTGGCGGAATAACTTCCTATTGTTACCAACAGCAGCGGCCATTTCCATCGACGATGCTAGATGAAAGCGCCAGGCTACGTGATTTCGCTTCGCGTCAGCATGTAGTTTGCCCAGAGAGCTCTGAGAGTCTTGTCGCATTCGCTTCCGGCCGAAATGCGTCGGCCAGTATCGAAAGGTTACAGAGACTTAGTCGAGACGGACTGTCCAAATAGTTGAATTAATTTACTACACGAAGACATACTTATTGCCAATGGTTGGCGGCATCCGGTTTTGGATTCGTCTGTCACTGTGGCCCGCCACAGGACGCCTGCGCCTACAGAGCGACCATGGATATCTTGCGCTGCACCACCCACAGCTCCATCCACACACCCCATATCCAGTGTAAACCCGAAGGAATAAGACCGGGAGGCATGCGGATGGGAGCCACGTTTCATCAACGGAGCCGGCCCACAATCCATCACACGCAAACACAAGCAGGCTGTATTTGGGGAATCAAGTACACACAAGGCGATGGTTGGACCGTAGTCCGCTCCACACCGAGTGCATGGAACTACTCTTCGAGCCTAGCACGACCACAAGGACCGTGCATCCCGTCCCCTCCAGCAACGAACAACTGTCTCCTGGAGCCAGTATGGACGAGGTAGTGGGTAACAGACAGGTAGGCACCTTGTCAACATGCACATCAATCGCAGTCACACCCGAGATGTCAAACAGCAGCTAATCATTCGAAATCCCGATATCATATAAAAGATATCGAATAAAGTAAACCTATGTGACGATACAAATACTCGCTAAATTAGCATATGGAGCAAAATGGTTACAAGCGAATCCGCGAAAAGTACAAAACGTCCGAAAGTCATTTAAAAATTAATACGTGATCAAGTTACGCAAGGTTACCACAATTAACATGAGCGACGTGTGTAAATTAGGAGATTATCAAGTACGCAGAACAAACCAAATCAAGTGGAAGGAATTTTATCCACATTAAAAGACCTAGTTTAAGTGTAAGTTGATTTAACTCAACTGTGGTGGAGAAGCATCATGAAAGCTACATCAGTCAATAAGGTCTAGCAAAAACGCAACCGACAACCTTATAGTGTGTTCTGTGAGCCGATACCAGCCAAAGTAGATACACATTCATAATATGTGGTTTCACCAGTTGACGGTATATATCTTCTCAGAGAACCGATGCGGGAGTCCGCCAAAAGGTACCTGCAGGTGGATACATGCAAGTGCATGATCGGATACCACGCTTGTTCATTAAATAAAGCAAGTTAGGTACGCAGCCTCTCCAACAGTGACGGAAGGTGATGTGATCAATTTGCACCTATGGCTGTTCCGACGCTGACAAGCCCAACATAGCCCAGCGCGCTCATGGGATCGAGCCCGAACAACATATGACAACAATATGGACTGTCATATAACGTTACATATTATATACGCAACAAAACACTGCATAACTCTTCCACACTGAATGGAGTTTATGCATGAAATAATAAAGAAATTCGCTGTGCAAATGATCGTTCCACGAAAGAAAACGTACCCCGCTCGTCGGGAAATATACTCATGTATTTGTAATGTTTACGAAAAAGGAACGAGCATTTTAACTCAGGTGTGGCAACGCTCACGGTTATCACTGCGGGATACTACACCGTGTTGGCCGCAATTTAAGTTCGTTGTTGGACAGCTTTCTAACTTGGGCGTTGTGATCACAAACCAGCACCACCGTAGCTAAACCACATTTGTGACGAAAGAGCTCGTTCAGTTGATGATAGAACTAACTTTTCATCGAAGCAGCGCTACATTTTGTGGGATGAAAGCAATAATAACAAGTGGAAAACTGGTGTCCCCAGACGAACTGAAAGCTTTGAACGAGCCGGTCAGTCTACGGTACACAACCAGCTATCGACTGGTCCCATCGATCATAGCAATCTTAGGTCAGGGGCTCAGAGCAAGAACTACACTGTGTCCTGCGTCCGAAAGGACAAGGCGTCCGCTTTGTAACCCGGAGGTCGCGGGTTTGAGTCTGTGTTGGGGACCGGATGACCTTCGCAGTACCCTTAACCGACGCGTGACTGGTGGTGGTTACGTAGCAGTAGAGCGCCGGTACGGCGTACCGGCGCACTGCTAATGCCTTTTCAACTAAACAGAACCCGAATCCTGCTGGCGGATTTCTCAAGAGCAGCAGATATCGATCGATAGGGTCTCTAATGTCTGGACAAGTGCTTCTCGTTCAATGATTCGCAACAAAGTTCGCGTGGGAAGAGCACAAACAGGTTGCGCAGGTTTAGATAGGAGAAGGACCAGATTCCCTGCGAAGGTCCAGTTCAAAAACTTGGCCGGAGGCACCGGTTGTTTGGGAGTAGACTACAGTGAGTTTGTTTGGAGGAATACGAAGCCACCCCCATTTCAAGCCCCAGCCCGAAGAACCAGGAAACTCAGTTCATTTGGCCACCAGCTACAGGTCAACCAGACAATGGGAAGCCCTGGAACTGCCAAGGCACCATCCAAGATAACTCAATGGATCGCTTAGGAATTCAATACTTCAAGCCATTTTAAGGTGCAGTTCCATCGCGATGTAATAACCCTAACAACTACACCCGGGTTGGACGTACCGTGCGGTTGCGAACTAATTTGTGGTAAGAGAAGGTCTGTAGCCTAAGGGATCACAAGCCTGTCTTGTCATCCGGGAGCGCAGGTTCAAGCCTGTGTGACGGACCGAGCGACCCTCACAGTATCCTTAGCACACGAGCGACTGGTGGTGATTGAGCAGCAGCGAAGCATCGATAACGTTTGCAGGGGGTACTGCTGATGACTTTTCAGAATAACCAATGATAGATTTACGATGCTAATTAGTCGAGTGTATGCAGCAAACAGGGACAAGCAGTGCTTAATACCGATCCGCGTGTAAAGTTCAGTTCAGTTCGGTGGATCAACTATGATCCAAGCACTGAAGTGCGGTAGATCTAGTTGCCACTACACACACCGACTTTTTTCACTCACACTTTAAGAACGACAAGAAATAACACAGGTGGGACAGTGGGGGGGGGGTTGGGTGCAAATAGAAGGTAGAGAAAATGGAAACAAGGAAATACGTTAGCCTAATCAGAATGGAACAAAAATTAACAACCAAATGAAAGAAGCCGAATGTAAGAACGAACCCAACTGCATGACTGTGTCATACCTTAGTCTCCAATCATTGGTGTGTAGCGTCCAAAGGACCCCATCCGGGAAGACGGCAAACACCAGCCTGACCAATTCTCGCAGTCAATTTCTTCATGCCTCAATGCCACGTCATGGACTAGCCACCTCGAGGTTCCGCCCAACTTGGCGTATAATACAGGCCGATCAACGGGCATACGGAGAATATGGTCTAGCCAGCATAATCGTTTAAGATTCAGCAAATACTCGATTGAGGCACCAGAAGGTTTCTTGCCAAAAGCAATCTGGCGGACCTCAGCATTGGTCACTCGCTGTTCCCGCCAGACGTAGCAATACTCCGCAAGCGCCAGTGGTCAAACAAGGCCAAGCGGTTAATGGCTTTACTGCGAACTAGTCATGTCTCCGATCCCTAGAGAAACACTGGCCTTATCGTAGCGTTATGCACCCCACACTTCACTGGCGAGCTGATATCCCGCCGTCTCTATAAATGGTTGTATCTCTGGAAAGGCACACGGGCCTTGCTAATACGAGAAGTAACCACTTCAGTGAAGTGATCACCAGAGGTGACAAAGCTACCAAAGTAAGTGAACCGATCCACCACTTCCAGTGGCTGTTCGGAGATGGCTAAAACCAGAGGTATGGGCCCAGTCCTGCAACAGCACTTGGTAGGTGCAAAGTACATGCCTAAGCGTGCAGTGTTACGCACAAGTCTGTGCAGTAGAGTTTGCAGACCCAACGCATCAGACCCAAAGAGAATTATGTTGTTCTCATGCTCCAGGTTTCTCAGTCAGTAGTCTGGTAGAACTTCCACTTTAGGACCGTCTGAAGGAACCGAGTCATTCATG